GCTCTGGGCACTGTGCTAGGCTTCCTGCCCACAAGGACCCTGTCTCTCAGCACCATTACATAGCCAGCAGAGTCAGGAAGCCCGCGTGACAGCTTACCATGGTCTAACCCTCAAACCCTGATCAAGATTTTCCAGTTGTCTGACAATGGTCTTTGCAGGAGAAGGCTTGAGCTCTGAATCATGAACTGTGTTGAGCTGTCAATTCTCTCCTGTTTCCTTTAGTTTGGGAAGTTTCTCCAGCCTGTCCTTGATGTTGGTGGCCTTGACACTTGAAAAGACGGGGGCCAAGGATGGCAGTACACATCCGTGATGGCAACACTCGGGAGCTTGAGGCAGGAGGAACAATGGAAATTCCAGACCCACATGGAACAGGGCATGGTGGGTTATGCCTAGAAACCCAGCACTCTGGAGACAGAGGTGGGAGAACTGTGGCTAGTTCTGGGCCAGCCCAGGCTACGTAGCAAGGCTCTTTTAGAAGTTGAAGGTTGTCTTAGGCTATAGGGTGAGCTGAGGCCAGCCTGGGTTATATGAGTCCCTGACTCAAAATAAAACAAAGAAAAACAAAATAAAAACACTTGGAAGAGCGTGCCTCCCAGTCCGGGTTACTGGCTTTGTGCTCCTGACTCTGTTTGTCAGGGATCCAGAGGAGAGATGCTGTGTCCCCTCTGGTCATGTGACACAGCTCATGCTGTCCAGATAGTCTCTTCCTGATCCTGTTAGCTTCACCTGAAAACCTGGGTACACGTACTGTGACGTTGCTTTCTTCCCTTTTGGGGGTTAACAAGCCCTGTGTGGGGAAGTGCGTGAGACGGTAAACTTCAACACATTCTTTACAGTGTGTGGACCTGGTGGCCCATTGTGCAGCGTAAACTTTTGTAGCCCTGGTTTGTTTGTTTCCTTGTCTGTACATCGAACGAGGCAGAGGACTGGACAGAGCTGCCTGTTAGTGAGAGTGAAACAGGATGCAGGCTCTTTTAGAAGATGCCTATTGAGGATTGGGGCTCAATCTCACGATCAGGACAGAACAAGGACTTCCTGTGCACAATTCGTGGGTTCAGGCTGGGCTGGGAAAGTCCACTTCCTGAGCCACCCCTTTTTAAAATTATTTATTTATTTATTTTTGAGGCAGGGTCTCACTAAGTAGCCCCAGCTAGCCCGGAACTCACTCTATAGAGCAGGCTGGCCTTCAGCTAACTCACAGATTTGCTTGCCTCTCCCTCCCTGTGCTGGGATTAAAGGTGAGTGTCACCATGCCCAACCTTTGTCTTTATTTTTTTTATCTGTTTTTATATGTATGTGGGTGTGAGCATGCCATGGCTCCCGTATGGGAGTCAAAACAACTTGTGGGAGTCAATTCTCGTCTTCCCGCTGTGGGCTGCAACACAAGGTGGTCAGGTGTTCACGTACTGAGCCATCTCCATTGTTGTTCCTGATCCATGACGAGGTGGGGCTAGCCTTGGGCAGCAGAGCAGGAGGCAGAGGCAGGACCTCTGCGTCTCCATCTTGGCTTTGCTACCAGCTTGTTGGTCCGAGTCCTTACTGTCTCCTTCTCACCCTCCTCCCCAGCTCAGGGTGAAAGTAAGGAAGAGCCTTCCTGTTCTGGAATCGGTGAATACCTTGGCAGGTGCCGCAGGAGAGACAATTACACAATAAATCCCCCAGGAGGCATGCTCGGTGAATGATTCTGGTTAATTGAATGTTATGGAATGTGGAAATGTTTCCAGAGTTTTTAAAAAATTAACTCTTTTCTATCTCATGTGCCTTGGTGTTTTGCTTGATGTATGTCTGTGTGAGGGTGTTGAATCCCCTGGAGCAGGAGTTACAGGCAGTTGTGAGCTGCCTTGATGTTGCTGGGAATCGAACCTGGGTCCCCTGGAAGAGCAGCCAGCGCTTTTAACCACTGAGTCTGTCTCCAGCCCCCAGACTTTGTTGCTGTTGGCCCTTTTATGGTTATTGAAACACAGGGGTTCAACTGTCCAGCAGCTTCTGCCCTAGGTGGTGGGAGGGTGCTCTGCCTGACTCAGAAACTATATCTAGGGCAGATTAGGGGGCAATTTCCCTGCTGTGCCTGGAGGGGATGATGGGATGCTTGGGATCCCGGGAGTTCCCAAGGAGAGAGTATAGGAAAGAGTCATTGCAGAATGGCTATTGATATCGTGATGTCTCAGAACAGTCACCAAGCCCTCCCTATGATTCCAGGGCCTGAGAGGAAGACCCTGGAGTGAGAATTCTGGAGGTTTGGTTTCTTTAAAAAACACAGAAACATTGCAAGAATGTGCTTTCATTTTAATCCCAGGTGTAGGGACGTGGGTCTGCCTCAGACTGTTCACAGCAGCTGACTATGATTTGCCTCGTCCTCTAGCAAAAGTGTGGCTTTGCCAGCTGCAGATAGTTCCTGCAATTGTATGGCATTTGGAATTCTGGGAACTTTTCAGAGGGTACATAAATGCTAGGGTTTCTCTAGGTGGGGTGGGTAGTTGTTGGTTGTTCAGGGCAGGGGGTTGATTGCAGTTTGTTAGTAGACAAGAGTCAAAGGAGAAACAAGAAAGAAATTAGAGTCAGGGATTTCTGTCTCTCCTATTTAGTGATAGCGGGTGAAACGGGGGGTGGGGATGTTTAAAAGAGTAGGAAAAAGAAAGTAGCTAAGGCCACAAAGTAGCTAAGGCCACAAAGTAGCTAAGGCCAGCTGCAGGACTAAATTCAGTATCAGCCTGGGTGACATAAAAAGACCCTGTTTTAAAACATCAAAGCAAAGCAGGGGATACTAGCACATGGGCACACCAGGGTTTGAGAGACAGAGGCAGGAGGATCTTGAGCTCAAGGCTAGCCTGGGCTGCATGAGACCCTGACTCAAACAAAACAAAACAACCTGAACATAACTGGGCATGGTAGCACATACTTTTAATCCCAGGACTCAGTGAAGCAGAGGCAGGCAGATTGCTGTGAGTTCGATGCCAGCCTGGTCTACAAAGTGAGTCCAGGACAGCTAAGGGTACACAGAGAAACCCTGTCTTGAAAAACCAAAAACCAAAACAACAACAACAAACAAAACAACCTAAACCAACCTGAACAAAGAAGTCACATGATTAAAAAGTAGTTAGTGTTGTGTTTGTCCTGGAGTAACCAGGTGCAGAGACAGCAAGAACGGAGGGCCAGAGACATCCAGGTACTGCCATCTGTGGGTGAGCTTAGACTGTGAAGCTGCAACAGCTGCTCATAGGACCTCACAGCACCTGGGAGACCAGGTAGAGGCAGAAGTATGAGTTCAAGGCCATCTTGCATTATATGTGATATCCTGTCTCCAAAAATCCAACCAAATGAAAACTTAAAAACAAACAAACAAACAAACAAACAAAAAAAAACGGTCTGATGGTACATGACTTTAGTCCCAGCACTTGGCACTTGGGAGGCAGAGGTAGGCAGATCTTTGAGTTTGAGCCAGCCTGGTCTACATAATGAGTTCTAAGTCAGCCAGGACTACACAGTGAGGCCCCGTTTCATAAAAATGGCAAGTGAAGGTGGATCTCTGTGAATTTGAAGCCAGCCTGGTCTACATAGGGAGTTTCTGGATGGCCAGGGCTATGTAGAGAAACCTTGCTTCAAACAAACAAACCAAACCACACGTTAGCAAACGAAAACTTAACTAACTAACTAACTAACTAACTAACTAACTAACTAACTAACTAACTAACTAACTAACTATATGGAGCTGTGAGGAGGGAGGAAGAGGCATGTACATATTCAGAGAGTAAGGAGTGGGAGGGAGGAAGAAGGCCGAAGGCTGGGCTGGCCCAGCCTGTGAAGGCTGTGCGCTCATTTCTTGTCAAGCATGTATTATTCCAGACATGCCTCTTTATGGAAAAAGTGGAGAGGAGAGAAACAGTGAAGTTAAAACGCTAAGTCACGAGGGAAGGGCCTCAGAGTCAAGGGTACACAGGGCTGGACGGGAGGGTTGGTGGGTAGAGAACATATGTGTTGAAAGGGCTCATCCCCTGCTGAACGTGGCCACAGGGAACATGAACCCGGCATTACCAGCTCCTAGCTGTATTTGGAGCTCTGGCAGCCTTGGCTCTTGGCTTGTTATGGCCAAGCTCTCAGTGATCAAGTGTTGGCCACCAGTTAGGGCCACTGTGATGGTCTGTGGGGAGAGCCAGCCTGAGCTAGCAGCTCGGTTTATTTTCTTAGCTGGTGGTTTGCAGCATGGAACCTAAAAGGTTCAGTGGATGAGGGTTTGGGGAGGTGTCCACTTGGAATCCACGGGATCCCCAAGTGTTGAGTGTGCTTTCACCTGGTACAGAGCTCTGGAAGCACAAGGGGGACCTGGAAAATGACCTCTGCCTTGGAACCTGGACCACAGTGCTCGCCAGTTAGAGACAGTCAAATCAGCATCCTGTTCACAGCTGCATGTTGGGAGCGTAAGGCTGGCTTCCCCTGCATTCTGGGTCTTGGTATAGTTCTGAAGGCAGACTCAAGAGCCTCAAGGAGGTTGGAACAGATCCTGAAAAGGCTGAGAACAGAGACCCAGGGCGCCTGCATGACTCTGGTTATGACAGCTCCCTTGTGTCACATTCCAGTCTAGCCCTTAGTGCTAGGAGCTCTGGGACATTCCATCTGAAGAAGTTCTTCCTGCTCTGTTGGCCTTTTGGAACATTCCCCTCTGTTCTTCTGGCCATGGTACATTAGCCGCTGGCATGGAAGCTCCCCCAGGGCAGACTCAGGGCCTGTTTGTTCAAGAAGTCTCCCATCTACCTACAATGGCACCTGCAGCTTAGCCAGTGTTCAGCAAACATTTGTCACCTACTGCCCAGGGTGAGTACTCACTGATGGATTCAGAGAGTTCAGCCCATGACTGATCTCTGCACCGTGGTAGCGTGTTTATCGGTCTCTCTTCATAGTCTGTGAGAGCCAAGGGGGCAGGGTCTGGGCCCCTCAGTTTCTTTTTTCTTTGGTAACCCTCGAGACTGGTACCTTATAACTAGAGAGCATTTAATTTTCTTTCCATTTATTGGTTTATTTAATTTTATGTGTATGAGTATTTTGCCTGCATGTATGTACGTCCAGCACGTGCATACCTAGTGCCTGAGGGGATCAGAGGAGGATTTTGGAGTTAGGGATGGTTGTGAGCCAACATGTGGGTGCTGGGGGTTGAACCCAGGTCTTCTCCAAGAGCAACAAGTGCTCTTAACTGTTGACTTCTCTCCCTAGCCCCAGCAGAGGGTACATATGTATATTTAATTAAGGGCTGGGTGTGGTTGTGCAAGCCTGTAATCCCAGCACTCAGGGAGGCAGAGGGAGCCTGATCTCTGTGAGTTCAAGGCCAGCCTGGTCTACAAAGTGAGTCCAGGTCAGCCAAGGTTATACAGAGAAGTCCTGTGCTGAAAAAAACTAAAATAAGTACATAAGTAGGTAAGTCAAATAAATAAGGGGTGGAAGACACGGCTCAGTGAGTGAAGTGCCTTGAAAACAATGAGGACCCGAGTTAGGATCCCCAACACTCAGGAGAAAAGCTGGCCAAAGTGGCAGGACCCTGTAATCCCAGCACTGTGAGGCTGAGACAGGAGGGAGGATTGTTAGGACTTGCTGACCGGCCAATCTAGTCAAACTGACAGGATCCTAGATGAGAGAGAGAGAAAGAGAGAGAGAGAGAGATATGAACATCCGTTACAAACACTCTCTCTCTCTCTCTCACACACACACACACACACACACACACACACACACACACACACACACACACACGAGTGGCTTGGATGGAGAGACTGGACCTGGGTTTGAGTCCCAGAACCCATGTTGGGTGCTTCACAACTGCTGGTCACTCCAGCTCCAGGGGATCTGATGCCTCTGGCCTCCGTGGGATCCTGCACAGACACAGACACACGTACATAATTAAAAACAAAGTAAATCCCTTTAAAAAAGATAGTAGAGAGTGATTGAAGAACACACCTGATACCAACATGAACATTTACACATATCCACTACCCCTCCCCCCCATACCACCACCACCACCAACAACACCAAGATACCTTTCTGCTGGCTTTGTGGGCGCAAACACAGTTAGACGATGGTTTCAACCTACACTTTGCACTTGAGCGCTTCAGTCATTATGGCTAACCCGGGAGTAATTGCTGATAAGCCTGAGTGTGAATTGCCTCTCATGTAGAGAGGTAGCTAGCTGGGAGTGTTTAATAACAACGGATAATCTTAATTAGTGACCCGATAACTGTAATTAATTACATCATATCCGGAGGCCCTCTCTGGGATCTCGGGAGGGAGTAGCCAGCGCTTGGCAGCCTGGAGGCAAGCAAGGATGGAAAGCTAGGAGCCCAGCTTCACCTCATCCTTTCTGAGGAGCTGGGGAACTTGGGAGCTTTGGTGAATTTCTCCCATTTTTGAGCCCCATTGGGAAATGGGGCTGTATCGAAGGCTGGGTAGTGAGGATGTTGAAGCCCTTCTTTGAGCAAGCCCCCGGGTACCTGGGGCTGCTGAGCTGCTACCAGAATCCAGGCTGTCAGGCTGCAACCAACCCCTGTGGATGTAGGGCATCCACAAGCGGCCTTGTGTCTTCATGGGGACAAATCGCAGGTCTCAATATCCGTAAGGACAGGCCCTGGCACCTTTGGCCCCTTGCAGGGAACTCCAGGTCATGCTGGGGGAATTTAAAGGAGCCCGGTGTCTTCAGGATCTTTCCCAGGGCTGCAGAGGAGAGGCGCGGTGGTGTGTAGGGGCGTCTGGTGCCAGACCCGGAAGGCGGAGGTGTGTGTGTCCCTTGTGTCTCCTGGGGTCCTTCCACCCCCAGCCTCAGTTTCCCCGTGCGGGAGGTGGATGGGTGAGGAGCGGAGTCCCGCCCCCTCCGGGATCACGGTCTGTCGGGGGAGCTGGGAGGGGCGCTGCATGCACGCCAGGCCATCAGGGGTTAAGCAGTGACCTCAGCCGCGCGCCCCGGGACCTGGCGGGCGGGGCGGGCGGTGAAGCGGCTGCAGGCCGCGGGCCGGGGCTGCAGCGGGCGCGGGGCTCGGCCCGGCCACCGGCGCCCGCGGCGGGAGCGGGAGGCGCGGTGGCGCGGTGGCGCGCGGTGCCGCGCGGAGCCTTTGTGAGCAGCGGGCACGGTGAGTGCGCGGAGCCCAGGCCCGGTCTCCCGGCCTCTGGCCCGGAGCTTTGTGTGTCCGGGGTCTCCCAGGTGCCTCCGGGGGACAGTTCCCAGCCCTGTGTGCCCTGGCCCCTCTCATAGTTGTGTCCTTCTGTGCCTCTTGAGTATCCCTCTGTCTCAGTGTTGACTGGCCTTTGTGCCTCCCTCTGCTTCTCTATCTCTGTTCTGGACACCTCCCCCCCTCCAGCTCTGTGCCATACTTTCCCCATCCCCCCACTGTGGTTCATTGTGCTCCCCACTCCTCTCTGACCTTAGGTGTTGTGGGCCCCCAGATCGCATGAAGTCAGGTAACACGGGGTGGCTTCTGTTCTGGGTCAGCCTCTCCCATCTTGAATCCTTGCCCAGAGGCGGGACAGCCAGGCCTCCCGCAGGAGTGGAGTGTGGGAGGAGTGGACGCTGGGTCAGCGGCAGGCCATGGGCACAGAGCCCTGGGTGGCCTTGGGTAGAGATAGGAGTCCAGGGGTTCTCTGGATGGTGGAGATCAGCTTTCAGGGGTGGCTTGTGAGAGGGAGCCAGTTTTGAAGTGGGGGAGGGGCCGGGCTCTCTGTGTTCCTGAGGGTGGGAGGACCCCCACCTCAGACCGAAGCAGGGAGATGGCTCTGGGTGGATCTCATTTCCGGCTTGGGCTCTCAGTGTTTGCTTCAAAGGCCCTGGAGCCCCCATGGGAAACTCCCTGTCCAGCCTACCCCAGGTCCCATCTGTTCTTCTCTGGCTGTGGGGGAGAGAGCAGGTTGTGCAGGCTCATTAGTACATACAGCCCTGCCCTGAAGCCCTGTGGGTTTGGCTGAGAGCTGAAACAGCCGGCTATCCACCTGTCCACACAACGTGGGCTTCCGCAGAGGAGAGAGGAGGACACAGCCTGAAGATCTCAGGCAACGCTCAGGATGCCCTTGTCTCTTACCAGGCTGCACGCTGCCTCTTCACCCCAGTTGTCTGTCTGAGGCTGGTATCCACCTTAAGCCTTGGCTCCTGTCCTTGCTCTTGCTTTATTTACAAATGAAATGGTTCCATCCTTCACCTCTCCCAGTTCTCATTTGGAAGCACCTCCTCTCCAGCAAGCCAGGCAGGGTTTTCCTGTGTTCTGAGGATTCCTGTAGAGTAGAGAGGCTTTGGAGGCAGTGGCGAAGTCTGTGTTTGGTCACCAGCCTGCAACACCACCTGGCACATAGTAGGTACTCAATTAATAGTTGGAAACAGGAGGCTGAGGATGTAGTTTGGGGGTAGAACACTTGCCTGGTGTGTGCAGGACCCTGGGCTCCAATCTCTTGTTCTGCAACAAACAAACAAACTTGGAAGAGCTGCTGGGCTCCTTGGGGACCCGGGTACCAGGTTATGGCAAGAAGGAATCCTGCACAGACATGGTGTCTGCCAGTTGGAGGCCTGGGTGCGGAGCTCTGAAAGCTTCTACAGTAGGAAGGTACACAGTGGCAAGAATCTAATCTTACATAAAGTTGAAAAGGCAAAGAGCGTAGTTCTATACACTGATAATAATAGCTTAGGTTTATGTTGTCCTTTAGAAACCACTCTCTGTTTGACAACAGCCCTGGCAATTAGGCAGGGAAGACAATCTGCTTTACAGATGAGGAAGCTGAGCCCACAGCAGTGAAGAGACTGCCTAAGGCTAAGTTAGTGGAGGAGCCCACGGCTCCAGCTAGGGCTTTTTAACAATTCATCCTCTCCGGCCTTTTCAAGCTGGTCTGCAATGTCTCTGTGTTCTCACCCTGCAGGCCAACAAGTCTCGCTGTGACCCCCAAGTAGTCCAGAGTCCATACAGATTCAAACTCGTAAACGATTGTTCCAGGGGTCTCTTCCCATCTTCTTGTCTGCATTCCCCAGAGGATGCCCCAGTCTCTGCCTTGGTGCAGGCCAGCAGGTCCACTTTCCTTCAGGGCCCTGGATTGTGTTTCCAGGAATTGTCTGTTCTTATGGGTTTGAGCAAGCAGAACTCTGGGTAGTGCTGTGCTAGAGTTGGTGTCTCTTGACATGTGAGAGCCAGTGGCTGAGTTTTGGGAGTGACTGAATCTCTGAGGGAGATGGAGGGAGACGGGTGAGTTTTTGGAGGGAGGCCTGTGAGCCAATTGGCCTGGTATATGCTGCCACAAACAATGAGACCCTGTTTCAAACAAAGTGTAAGCTGCAACCACACTTGAGGCTGACCTCTGACCTCCATGGTCAAGTGCGTGCCTGCTCTCATACATATGGTCAGTACACATATATCATATACACACATACAGAAATCACACATGCAAAGGTTTAAAATTTGTGAGTCAGGGCCAGGGGTGGTGATGCATGCCTTTAATCCCAACACTTGCAAGGCAGAGGCAGGTGGATCTCTGGGATTTCCAGGCCAGCCAGACCCTGTCTCAGAAGAGAAGGGGAGGGAGATGGCATGAGGAGACTTGATTTGTATTGATTTTGACTTGAGAACAGCTTTGCTATGGATTGAGCGGCTACAGAGGGAATGACCCAGGCACTAAGAAGCAGAGCAAGATGTCAGAGTGACAAACGGGTAGCTCATGGTGACGTTCAGCTCACCTGTGTGGCTGAAGCTGCTTCAGGGTGGCTTAGGTGCTGGTGAGCATGTCCAACCTGGACAGCTTCTGGGGCCATGTGAAGGAGAGGCGTTGGCTTGCTTTTAGATGGTTTGTGGCCTCAGGAGTGACAGCTTACTGAGTCTAGGCTGGGTCCTGGACTGTGGCTGCTAGGGTCAGCCTGTACCAACACATGGAATGCATTGTTAAGTTTCAGAGATGTTGAAACTGGTCATTCAACACAGTCGCTGTCAGGACATGGGCCCTATATGGTAGGGGGGAATGTGCTGAGCACAGGGCAGAGAAGGGACAGCCATGGACAGCGCCTGTGAAGGTTCAGTAGCAGAAGCAACTGGGCTTCAGCATGGCTCTGACATCAGGTGAACTGGGGGTCCACGGGTCTGTGTCAGAACAGAAACGGACCAGACTTTCCTCAGGTCTGGGGTCATGGTGTCTCCTGGGTATTTATAAAGGATGTCTGTCAGGCTTTTTGCTGGATTTGGCCTGTTCCTTGTGCATTTTTTTTTTTTCTGTTTTCCAAGACAGAGTTTCTCTGTGTAGCCTTGGCTGTCCTGGACTCACTTTGTAGACCAGGCTGGCTTTGAACTCACAGAGATCCTCCTGCCTCTGTCTTCGTGCTGGGATTGCAGATGTGAGCTACCGCAGCAGGCTCCTTGTACATCTTGAAGGGTTTCATATTGCCTCCCAGGCCCGCTGCTGCTGTTCTAGCCAGCAGGCCATTGGCCCATGATCGCACTCTAACATCAAGACCGAGGTGACAGAGCTGGGTGGTTGGGTCTCCCCTTCGTTCCACTACCCCCCTTCTCTCTACAATCCCAGAAAAACTGACAGAGAAGTGATTTCCGTCTCTTGTCTTGGTTTAGGTGGGTAAGTGAGAATATGCTATTTAAAGGCAGTGTGTGTTGATTTGGCTATCTGAACCAGCAGTTTTTACGTACCATTTCCTTAATCCTGTACTTGAAGCTAGGCACTCTCATCCTGTCTGAGGGAAGAACCCAGGTATCAGGGGGTCAGAGCGAGTTAGTCAGTGTTACTGGCCATGTGAGTGTGGGGATCAGTCAGACAGGTCCCGTGTTTTGTTTTTTTTGAGACAAGTTCTGCTGTGTGGCTCAGTTTGGCCTCAAACTATGGTCATTCTTGCTCAGTACCCCGGGTGCTGGGTCACACCACCATGACATCTTGTAGCTTGCTCTACAGCCCTCTGCTCCCACTGAAGTTCTAGGTTTCTTTTCCCTTTGCTGAGGAGATGGCTCTCTAGATGTGTGGAACCCAACCCCCTGCTACTGCCACTTTGCTCTTTTTACACTGATGCTGAACAGGTGGGAAAATGAGGTCTAGGCTGTTCGCCTCTGGGATAAGATTGGGGATAGACGTTAGTGTCCACGGGGCAGCCCTGGTACAGTGTCAGGGGAGAGCCTCAGAGGTGCACAGTGAGTTTGTGGGGTAGTGGGCACCACACCACCGGGCAGAGAGCACGTCCAGTCCTCATCAGCTGAGAGACAGCATTGCTGTCTCTATTCTCTACCACGAGATGAGGCTGGGGCCGTGGTCTGTGAACTGGAGGCAACCAGAGCCTTTTCTGCTGGCTCACAGTTTTGCCTTCCCACCCTGTGCCTTAGAACACTGCTGTACTCTGCCCGGAGGCTCTGCCTGCCAGGCTGTCCACACATGATGTGGGGAGAAATGATGGGCGGCCAGCTTGTCCAGATGGCCTCTCGGTTACACCCTGGCCACAGCTCCTGCTGCTACCATGGGAAGAGCTTGCATCTTCCCTCCAGCCTGTGTGTTGGTTGTGAGATGGTCTCAGACCTTATACGAGTGTCCCCAACCCAGGACAGTGGGCAGGTTGTGGTAAGCCAGCCTATGATGGCACCAGCGTGTGGTGACATCTGCCCACGGGAGCCTAGGGTGAACGTCCCCAGCCCCAGCGCTTCTTAGTGAAACTCCATCCCAGAACCCGCCTGCTTGGCATCTGTCACGAATCCCAGCCATTAGCACACAAGACAGCTACCTCCTCCTTGCCCTCCTCCTTGTATGGCTCTCTCTTCATTGTTTGAAGTGGGTGGAGGGAGGGAGGGAGCTGTCAGAGGCAGCTCTTATTCAATTTCCATAGGAAAACAATGGTTAAATCAAGTAGGAAAATAGCAGTGTGAGGGAAGAAGAGCAAACATCTCCAACCAGGATCTGTCTCAGAGCCTCCCAAGCGGCTCATTACACAAAGGCCTATTCTGTTTTTAATGGTTTGTGTTCCTTTTTTTTTTTTTTAAAGAAATATTTTTTAAATAATCTATTTTTTTTTTAATTTTATGTGCATTGGGGTTTTGCCTACATGTATGTCTGTGTGAGAGTGTTGGATCACCTGGAACTGAAGCTACAGACAGTTGTGAGCTGCCATGTGGGAGCTGGGAATTGAACTCTGGTCCTCTGGAAGAGCAGTCAGCCCTCTTAACTGCTGAGCCATCTCTCCAGTCCCCGTTTTCATTTCTTGAGACAGGATCTCACTATGTAGCCTTGGCTGGCCTGGAACTTGCTATGTAGACCAGGTTGGCCTGGAACTCACAGAGATCCACCTGCCTCTGCCTCCTGAGCGCTAGGATAAAAGGGATTTGCCACTATGCCTCATTAGTTTTATTCATTTATTTTTTTTAAAGCATTCATTTTATTTTCGTGTGTTTGCCTGCCTGTATTCTACCACATGTGTGCCTTGGGGGGGTGTGCGGAGGAGGCTGTTTGGATCTCCTGGAACTGGAGTTAAAATTCCAGATG